TGCTACGGGTAATTGAGTTATAAAGTAATGTAACTTTCAAATAACGAGTGGTTTCTCTTAAAATCAATCATTCTGTTGGCGTGGACCATAGTGATATACTTCTGAGTTCAATATTTTTAAATTATTGTTTATTTGTTTAATTTTTATTTTAGAAGCCAAACAAGCACGTAATGCATTTGAAGAAGCTGATAGGAAATTTAGAGACTTGCAACGTGAAGTAACTCATTTACAAGAATCCCTAAATAAAGATTTTGGTCCAGAAGATGAATTTGCAGCTCTAGATGGAGAATGCTATGAACTTTCTGACCGTGAATATGTGTATAAATTATGTCTTTTTGATCAAGTATGAATTTTATTAAAATTGTCGTAATGTTTTTATCATCATTTAAAAACATACATTTTTCCAATTCAATTATTAAAGATAACTCAACGATCCAAAAATGGTGGATCTGAAGTAAGATTAGGCACTTGGAACAGTTGGATTGGTGAACCGAAATACCGTACTATGTTATATGATAGAGGACAACATTGTTGGAATGGTCCTCAAAGATCTACTCACGTAAGCAAATTTTAATCAAATTAATTTACTTAACTAGATTTAGTATAATTTATCATTTTAAAAATTAATATGTGTTGATATTAAATGTTTTAAAAAAGGTACGTTTAACTTGTGGCCTGGAACCAGCACTGCTCTCAGCTACAGAACCAAATCGTTGTGAATATGCCATGGACTTTGTTGTGCCAGCTGTTTGTGTACAGGACAATGAGATGCTTTCAGCACGTGTAACAGATTCTGAACATGATGAATTATAATTAAAATCAACTTGTTTTAATTCATTGAATTTGTGTCAACTGTTTTTGGGGTATTTAATATAAAAATGTATTTGTTCATTATTATTTAAAATCAATGTACTTTTATTTTGTACAATTTTTTCTTTAAATATAAGATTGTAAAAGTAATTTAAAATTTGTTTCTATTAAAATAAAATAAAATTKTGATTGATAGTTTAAGCCCAAGTAGTCATGATATGAACATCAAACTTGTTAAGTTCTTTACGGTTTTTAATWTATGATGTATCCTATATAATATTGTGTTTTGTTGCAAAATATTTTACAAATTATTAAACTATAAATTAAATTACTTAACTTCAAGTTATTTCTTTATGATTTGTAATAATGTTGATTATACTGATTTGATCATTAAAATTAAGTACTAACTAGTAGCTATTCTCTACTACCTAACTCTATTTAATTATTTAGATCCATTCATCTATTAGATTACCATGTAAAGAAATTTAGAACTGAATATGTGACAAGGCAGCTTATTCATATTAATAGTTTACTAAAACTATCAGTTTTTTTTATTTAAACCTCTCCTTGGTCACAAAGTAGTTAACTAAGTTCACATTTTTTTTTTTTGCCAATACCATTAAAATACTTAAATTACTTAAAATATACATAACTAGATCTAAAGTAAGATAAATTTGTTTAGATTAAGATTTTTTAAAGGCAAATAAGCAAGATTAGTGATAGTATAACTAACATTAAATAAGTTTGAGAAAATATAATTATGTATAATAAAATAGGTTACAATTTATACTATTTATCTTAGTCTACATTCGAAACGTGGAAG